TAGACTTACAGATTAAATTAAATTTCCTCAAACATGTCCTATCTGTAGTAGTTCAACTAGACACCTTTTAAAGTGCCTCTAAATTCATCAGATGGCCAAAATGTATTTATAATCCACTGAAGCATTTTGAAAAATTTTCAACCTGTAAAAAATTACTTTTATCTTGGATTTATTATAAAGAACTTTATAGTTGCTTTATAATTTCCCATAAATTGTCTTTGAAACTAACATTTTACACTGAATTATTTTGAGATTTTAAAGAAATAATTAAGTTCAAAATGGTATATAATGTGTACTTTTTCTACTTTTAGGAAAATTTAATGAGAGCTTATTGCAAAAATTGTTATAAGTTGATCATTATAAGTGACTTTCAGTAAAAGTACCATAAACATTATGTTATGCCACAGAAATTCCTTTAAAATAAAATTCTTAAACTAAAAATACCTAAAGGCTGACTTCAGACCCATTAATTCTAAGTAAGGAGGGGAGATCATGGACTTAGGAAAATTTACTACATTGTATTTTCATAATAGTACATAATCTACAAAAACACAGTCTTACCAATTATGTAATTTAAATCTACTACAACCCTTTAAGGTATTGGGAAATACTTTTTTAATGATTTTTTCTCACCTTTTAAAATCTTTATTAAAGTAAGATATGCTTATTTTAGAATTTTCAAACACTCCAGAATATATAAGGAATAAAGTAAAAGCCACTCACTGTCTCACCCCCAGTGATAACTGCTATAAGCATTTAGCATTCTTCCTTTGCAATGTTCTTCTCTGCATACACATGTAATATGTAGAATAGGATCTCATTGTGACAGTATATCATAAATACCCTGTATTTATTTTCTATCGCTGTTTAACCAATTGACGAAGTGTTCCGTGACCCAGTAATTGTGACGTTGTAAGTATCTCTGAGGAATTAGGAAGTTTACGTCATTATTATTGATGCCATCCCTTGTGTATATGAACATCTCCATCACAGTTATTATTTTCCTGGACATCTGGATGAGATGTTATATCTTTCAACAGCTAAAATTCTCAAGCAGAAATCTCAACCTCAAAGATCAAAGCAGGTGACCCCAAGCCCAAATCCCTATTTCTAAGGCAACCAGTGGTAATTATGTAGGACCGATTGAAGAGATGCAGGGCCTGGAGGAAGACCAAGATGAGGAACCTGACAATTCACTGTGGGAACAGAAAATTATAAATTAGACTTATAAAAGTAAAATTAGCCTTCCCCTTACTTTATTCAGTACTTTTCAACAATAACCAAAATTGCTTAGCCCAGCATTGCATAGATGAGTGCCTTGCTTTGATTTTGTTTGTTTGTTTTTAAGTCACCATCATAGAACAGTTGATTTGTAGATCGACTTATAATTCCCAGCTTTCAAGCAAGGGATTACTCCTTACCACAATCTTAAGAAATCTGTTTCTTCAAAGAAAACAGAGCGAGAAAAAGAGTGGGCACACACAGTGCCTTATGACTTAGTGCTTGTTTTTGTCTGCTGAGATTATCTTTCCCTCATTAGGAAACTATAAAGTGTTGGCAAAATGGAACGTTATTCATTGCTATTGCCATTGTGAATTTTTCCAACCTTCTGGAAAAGCAATTTGGCAGTGTCTACCAAGAAACGTTAAAATGTTCATACCCTTGAATGCAATGTGTTTGATACTGTGGATTAGCTCACTCAGCATAAATTCGAATTTCCTGCTTGTATCTTTGAGCACTGTAAATGCAAAATGCTCCATTTCCAGATGCCCCTGCAGCTACAGTGTCAGATATGGCTGTCATTCAGATGCCCGGATTCAGAACTGAGTTAAGAGGGCAGCAAGGTAAGATGTAAGGCACGTGTTTTGCTGACATGGATCCTAGCTAAGGCAGTATGATTTTTATAGCAAGTAGCTTATTAGTTTGGTGGCTTTCTAATTCTGGCAGAAGCAGTGAAATGCTGGTGCTAGAAATGGTTCCTGGAAGCTGTATCTACTTTTTTAGCAATTCCAACATCTTTGGAAACCACAGAATACATGATAGTAAACAATTTTCAACAATTTTGGAAATCATAGAATACATGATAATAAACACTTTTTGCTTTAATCAGCTAGAATAGTTTTCATTATCTACAACTGAATGCCAATCAGTATAGCCAGGGGTGTCAAGGGTCTCCAAGCTTGACGATTTACTAAATGGACTCACGTGTGATTGTGCACGGAGCAAAGTCTGGAGGAAACTTCCAGGCACAAGTTTCTGAGACTCCTGTCTCAGTAGAGTCTCCGTGAGGTCCCAGAGGATGTACTTAATTCCTCCAGCAAGGATGTGTGATAACACATGCAACCACACCTCACCTGAGACTGGTGGCCCAGAGATTTTTGTTGATGGCCAGTCACATATGCATACAGTGCCTGCATGGCTGACCTCAGTTACTGAAGCTCCACCCCGCAGAGGGAACGCAGGTGTTCACTGTAAATCGCATTGTTAGGATAAACTAAATGGAAAAACTAAATGGAGTACAGTGTGGCTGAACACCTCCCAGCATGCAAAATGCTCTTATCAGTCAGAATATTGCAAGGGCTCAGTTCCAAGGAGCCAGCCAAGGGCCAGTCATGAAAACCCCGCTTCCTTGGTAATGTGCGTGGTTTAAGTGGCCTAGATCCGCTCAATTAATCCTTTCCTCCCCGCCATGGATCCCAGTTTTAGACATTTATAGTAAACAATTATGCAAACTATGGAAAATACTTTACAAATCTGAAGATAGTAATTGCAGTTTCAAATAGCAGAAAGCTGGGGGCAGGGGCAGAGCTGTTGTGACTAAAGGTCTCACAATAGGAAAATGGTTGTCAATTATGGTTCATCCACTTAACTGAATATGAGGCAACCACTAAAACACCATTATGAAGCAGTATTATTCATTTTAGGATGAGGCGGTAAGGTAAAAATGAGTATAATAGGAATGAAAACCCAGGGTATAAGAAGCATAGCCATAGTTCAATTACAACTATGTGAACACAGAAAACATTACCAAAATGGTAACAGTTGGGTAATATTTTTCTTTATTTTCAAAATATTCTGTAACATGGCTCTTTCATCATTTACAAATACATTTAACACCTTAAGTGAACTGGTGACATGATCCCTTTTTCAGTTGGACAAACAGATTCCTAAAGGCAATGGTAAAAATATATAAATATCAGGTGGCAAAGGGGCTGCTACCAAACAATAGGAATCACACGGGAAGTCACATCCGTGCAATGACAGTCAGTGTGGGCCTGGACAAAAATTGCATGGGTGTCCTGCCGTTAGTCTGCTTAGCTTCTGTGTGGAAGCCATCGTCTCCCTGGTCATGGTCTACAATGACTTCAAGCAGCTGGAGTAGCTGGTCCTGGTGGTGTTCAACATGGCAATTTCGAGGAAGCCGATAATGGAGCAGTTGTCACTTGGCATACTTTTCTTTTAATTTAAATTTGACTATTTATTTGTCCACTTTAGGAATTTCCTCCCCTGCGTGTAAGATGCTTTCCCTATAATTCTTGTAGAGCGTAGTATATCTTCAAATTTCTTTTCTAATACAGCTAATTAAATACTCAGTGGGTAGGAAGTATTAACTTTATCAAAAGTAGGTTTAATTATTTTAGAGAATCTAAAGTCTTAATGAAAGTGAAATATCAGCCAGTCATACAATTTTCACTAGTGATGTGTGTTTATTAACATTTTAAGTTCTCTGTAGTCCAGAACCATACTCTCTTTCTCTAGGACCCAGTGGTAACTAGGAATATCACATTTTAAAAAGGAATGTATTGGTTAGCATGCCTTCACAGTTACCCTAGTTCCAAGCTTCAGGATTTAAATTTTCACATGTGTGTGTGTGTGTGTGTGTATGTATGTATATGTGTGTATATATATGTATATATATGTGTGTGTATATATGTATGTGTGTATATATGTGTGTGTGTGTGTGTGTGTGTGTGTATATATATATTTTTTTTGAGATGGACTCTCACTCTGTTACACAGGCTGGAGTGCAATGGCATGATCTCAACTCACTGCAACATCCACCTCTCAGGTTCAAATGATTCTCCTGCCTCAGCCTCCCAAGTAGCGGGGATTACAGGTGCACACCACCATGCCCAGCTAAGTTTTGTATTTTTAGGAGAGATGGGGTTTCACCATATTGGTCAGGCTGGTCTTGAACTCCTGACCTCAGGTGATCCACCTGCCTCTGCTTTCCAAAGTGCTGGGATACAGGCGTGAGCCACCGCACCTGACCTTTGCTTATATATTTTATTCATTCATTCAGCAAATATTTATTGAGTGCCTATTAGTCTAGACTCAGCATATACCAGTGAACAAATTAAAGAAATTCTTGACCTTCATGGAGCTTATATTTGGGGTAAGGGATTGGTGAGGGATGACAGTAAAATTTATTAAAGTACTTTAAATATGTTAAGTGCTACAGAAAAAAATAATACAGGGTAAAGGGATAGAGCATGAAAGAGCAGGGGTGCTGTTTTTGTTTTTTGTTTGTTTGGAGACGGAGTCTCGCTCTGTTGCCAGGCTGGAGTGCAGTGGTGCGATCTTGGCTCACTACAACCTCCCCCTCCCAGGTTCAAGCAATCTTCATGCCTCAGCCTCCCGAGTAGCTCGGACTACAGGCATCCGCCACCATGCCCACCTAATTTTTATATTTTTAGTAGAGACAGGGTTTCACCATGTTGGCCAGGATGGTCTCGACCTCTTGACCTCATGATCCACCCACCTTGGCCTCCCAAAGTGCTGGGATTACAGGTGTGAGCCACCGTGCCCAGCCTGGGTGCTGTTTTTAATAGAGGGCCCAGAGAAGACCCCCAGACCAAGTGGCATTTGAGCAGAGAGCAGCAAGGGAGTGGGCCGTGCAAATACTTGTGCAAAGACACCAGGCGGCCTGAACTTGCAATGCAGAACCCTGAGGAGGAACTGCATCTTGCCTGTTTGAGGAACCACAGGAGTCCAGAATGCTAAAGAGCAAACAGAGGTGTATTAGTTCACTTGAGTTGCTGTAACAAAGTACCACAAACTGAGTGGCTTAACAGAAATTTCTTGTCTCACCATTCTGGAATGTTGAAGTCCAGGATCAAGGTGCCTGCAGGGCCATGCTCCCTCTGAAGGTGTAGGGAAGGATCCATTCCAGGCCATCTCCTAGGTTTGGTATTTCCGTGGCTTGTGGCAGCATCACTCCAGTCTTCATGAGGCATTGTCCCTGAGTGTGTGTCTGTGTCCAAATTTCCCCTTTATACAAGGATACCAATCATAATGGATTAGAGGACCCATCCTACTCCAGTATGACCTCATCTTAACTAATTACATCTGCAACAACCTTATTTCCAAATAAGGTCACATTCTGAGGTATTGGGGGTTAGGACCTCAAAACATGAATTTGGGAGGTAGGGTGACACAATTCAGCTCACAACAACAGGAAAGTGGCAAAAGAAAAGTCAGAGATAGGAGTGAGATGGTGGCCAGACTAGGTAAGGCCTTACAGGCCATGTGAGTGTCCGAATTATTCTAATGGAAATTGGAAGCCATTGGAGGGCTTTAAACAGCAGAACAGGCCAGGCACGGTGGTTTACGCCTGTAATCCCAGCACTTTGAGAGGCCGAGGCGGGCAGATCACAAGGTCAGGAGTTCAAGACCAGCCTGCCCAATATACTGAAATGCTGTCTCTACTAAAAGTACAAAAAAAAAAAAAAAAAATTAGCCAGGCATGGTGGTGCATGCCTGTAGTCCCAGCTACTTGGGAGGCTGAGGCAGGAGAATCACTTGAACCCAAGAGGCTGAGGTTGCAGTGAGCAGAGATCAAGCCACTGCTCTCCAGCCTGAATGACATCTCTAAATAAATAAATAAATAAACAGCAGAACAGCATGGGCTGACTTGGGTTTTAAAAGAGCGCTCTGACTCCAGCACAGAGAATGGATCAGAAAGAACAAAGGTAGAAGCTGGAAGACCATGTAGGATTCTGGGGACGGATGCTCTATTTTAACTAGTGTGATCAGGAAAGAACTCTGATGTCATTGCATTTAAGGCAAGACCTAACTAAAGTGAAGGGCAATTCACAAAGGTGTCTGAGGAGAGAAGCAAAACTATTTTTTTTTTCAAGAAAAACTGAACATAAAAAGGCCACTCAGTGAATTTAAGGTAAAATAAGTATTACATGCCTCCTCCTCTCATATAGTTTGAATATGTAACTCATCTTATTTCTCTTTTTAGTATGATTTGACCAATTTGCTTTTTCTTTCCTTATTCCTGCTTTCAGATTTTTTAATTTCCATTTTATTTCATGTGCTTCTTGTAAATGACTTCGTGCCTTTTTTTATTTGGAATTTAGAACTGAAATTGAAATTTTCAGTACTAACCTGCAAAATGGTCATAATTTCAGTACCACTTAGTATTTAAATAGCTAGACTGCCCAGATACTACAATAATGTGTTCATCAGAGTCACTGAAAAGGCAATCAAAATTAGAACCTAATAGAGTTCTTCAATGACTTTCCATTTAAGAAAGAAACTAAGTAAAGAGAAAATAGGCAGGGTGTGGTGTCTCATGCCTGTAATCCCAGCACTTTGGGAGGCCAAAGCAGGCGATCACTTGAGCTCTCTGGCCAGCATGGGAAAACCCTTTTCTACCAAAAAACAAAAACAAAAATTAGCTGGGTGTGGCGGTGCACACCTGTGGTCCCAGCAACACAGGAGGCTGAGGTGAGAGGATTGCTTGAACCCAGGAAGCAGAGGTTGCAGTGAGCCAAGATTGAGATCGCAGCACTGCACTCCAAAGTGAGACTGGAAGGAGGAGGAGGAGGAGGGGCAGGGGAGAAGGAGGGGCAGGAGGGGAGGAGGAGGAGGAAAAGGAGGAGGAGGAAGAGGAGGAGGAGGAGGAGGAGATTTCTCACTCCACTTCAGATGGAGGAGGAGGAAGAGAAGCAGAAGAAGATTTCTCACTACACTTCAGATCCACTGGAACCTGATTTCAATGTTCAGTGTTTGTGATGCTCTTTATACTTGAGGCATTGCAGCTACCTGCCAGCCTCAGTTTGCAAAGATTTCCCATAGGGTCTTATTTTCCAAGGCTCCTGGAATCCTGTCTGAATCATCTTGAGAAGGAAGCAGCAAAACAGCAAGGGACTTGGAATTCCCTAGACACCTAAACCACCACCCTTCCAGGAATGTAATATGTAGGAAAGGTTTAAGCAAAAAGAAAAAAAGAGAGTAAGGGAGGATGGATCTGCGTACATCTTGACCTAGCAATATCAGTTCTAGGGATTTGCCTTAGGCAAATAATTTAAGACCCTTCATTACAGCATTTATTAGTGAAATAATTAACCTACATATCCATCCACAACAACCTTCCAGTCCCCCTGCCAGCCATTCTCCCTTCGCATGCCTGACTCCTACTCATCCTACAGGGCTCAGAGGAAATTCCACTTCCTGGTAGGACCCTGCCCTGGGCCCTAAGACTAGTTAGGGTCTTCTGTTAATTACACATAGGACACGCAGTCTCTTTTCCTGTGTAGCACTTACCACAATAAGAAGTAATTATTTGTGCGAGTATTTGTTCATTTCTGCCTGTTCCCTTCTCCCCACAGACCAGAATCTCTGTGAGGGCAAGAACTGTGTATCTTCACAGCTGTAACCTCAGAGCCGATTGCAGTGCAGATGTCTTGCTCTCAATAGATATGTGTTCATGGAATTATACACTTTATTATTTTTTTTTTAATTTCTTTGAGATGGAGTTTCACTCTTGTTACCCAGGCTGGAGTGCAGTGGCACAATCTCGGCTAACCGCAACCTCTGCCTCCCAGGTTCAAGCAGTTCTCCTGCCTCAGCCTCCTGAATGGCTGGATTAGAGGCACTCACTACCACGCCCATTTAATTTCTTTGAGATGGAGTTTCACTCTTGTTACCCAGGCTGGAGTGCAGTGGCACGATCTCGGCTAACCGCAACCTCTGCCTCCCAGGTTCAAGCAATTCTCCTGCCTCAGCCTCCTGAATGGCTGGATTAGAGGCACTCACTACCACGCCCAGATAATTTTTTTTTTTTTTTTTTTTGTTAGTAAAGACGGGATTTTGCCATGTTGACCAGGCTGGTCTTGAACTCCTCACCCCAGGTGATCCACCAGCCTCGGCCTCCCAAAGTGCTGGGATCACAGGCAAATTGTACATTTTAAATGGGTGGATTTTATGGTATGTGAATTACATCTCAATAAAGCTGTTTTGAAAAAAGGTTACCATGAAAAAAAACTAATTGCTTGATTAATTAAACATTAACTGATGAAAACTGGTATACAGTAGCCCACGATGCGGATAGAAAAAGTATTTGAATTGTATTGAGAGGTGACAACATGCTAGCAGCCCTCACTCTCGGCTCCTCCTCAGCCTTGGTGTCCACTCTGGTGGCTCTTGAGGAGCCCTTCAGCCAGTCACTGCACTGTGGGAGCCCCTCTCTGGGCTGGCTGAGGCTGGAGCTGGCTCCCTCAGCTTGTGGGGAGGTGTGGAAGGAGAGGCGCAGGCGGGAACTGGGGCTGCATGCAGAGCTCACAGTCCAGCGCAAGTTCCAGCAAGCCCTGGCACAGGCTTGGCAGACCCCCCACTCAGAGCGGCTGGCGGCCCTGGGTAGTGAGGGGCGTAGCACCTGGGCCAGCAGCTGCAGAGGGTGCGCCAGGTCCCCCAGCACTGCCAGCTCGCATACACCACTCTCAAATTCTCACGGGGCCTCAGCCGCCTCCCGGAGGGGCAGGGCTCTGGACCTGCAGCCCCCCATGTCCGAGCAGCCCCCTCCGCGGTGGGCTTCCTCAGACCCGAGCCTCCCTGACAGGTGTCGCCCCCTGCTCCGTGGCGCCCAGTCCCATCAACTGCCCAAGGGCTGAGGAGTTCAGGTGGGGCTCGGGACTAGCAGGCAGCTCCGCGGCAGCCCAGGTGCGGGATCCATTAGGTGAAGCCAGCTGGGCTCCTGAATCTAGTGAGGACTTGGAGAACTTTTATGTCTAGCTAAGGGATCCTAAATACACCAATCAGCACTCTGTGTCTAGCTCAGGGTTTGTAAATACACCAATCAGTACTCTGTATCTAGCTAACCTACTGGGGACTTGGAGAACTTTTCTGTCTAGAACTCTGTGTCTAGCTCAAGGTTTGTAAACACACCAATCATGCTCTGTGTCTAGCTAATCTAGTGGGGACTTGGAGAACCTTTGTGTCTAGCTAGAGGATTGTAAATGCACCAATCAACACTCTGTATCTAGCTCAGGGATTGTAAACGCACCAATCAGCACTCTTTGTCAAAACGGACCAATCAGTTTTCTGTAAAATGGACCAGTCAGCAGGATGTTGGTGGGGTCAGATAAGGGAATAAAAGCAGGCTGCCCTAGCCAGTCAGGGGCAACCCGCTCCGGTCCCCTTCCACACCTTGGAAGCTCTGTACTTTCGCTCTTTACAATAAATCTTGCTGTTTCTCACTCTTTGGGTCCATGCCACCTTTATGAGCTATAACACTCACCAGGAAGGTCTGCAGTTTCACTCATGAAGCCAGCAAGACCATGAACCCACTGGGAAGAACCAACAACTCCAGACGTACTGCCTTTAAGAACTGTAACACTCACTGGGAGGGGTCTGCAGCTTTACTCGTGAAGTCAGCGAAACCACGAACCCACCGGAAGGAAGAAACTACAGACACATCTGAACATCTGAAGGAAGAAACTCCGGACTACCATCTTTGAGAACTGTAACACTCACCACGAGGGTTTGCAGCTTCATTCTTGAAGTCAGCAAGACCAAGAACCCACCAATTCCGGACACAGTATGTCTATTGACATAAGAACACATTCAAAACATATGAGGCCAAAGAGTCTTTGTAAAGCAGTTTGTACCATACAATCCCATTTCTATTTGCTAACAAAAGGGTATGTTTATTCAAACTGTGTGTATGGATGCCCACATTGCCAGTAGTCGTTCGGAGTGTTTGTGACCTATCAGTGAATAAGTCCTTGTTATCATGGAGCTTACATTCAAGTATGGGGAAAGTCCATAAGTAATAAGCATCCTAGGCCAGGCTCAGTGCCTCACGCTTGTAATCCTAGCACTTTGAGAGGCCAAGGCGGGGGGATCACTTGAGGTCAGGAGTTCAAAACCAGCCTGGCCAATATGGTGAAACCCCACCTCTACTAAAAATAGAAAAATTAGCTGGAGCACCTGTAGTCCCAGGTACTCCAGACGCCGAGGCAGGAGAGTTGCTCGAACCC